AACTGTACGCTCTCACAGTGCCTATGATGTGGAAGTCAAACAGGAAGGAGGCTTAAACTAACCGAGGAGCTCTCCGGTTTCTGTGGATACCTCCAATGGACGGTTCGTCCATGCGTTTTGTCAGCGGCCCACCTCTTCATCTGTCATGTCATGTTTTCCCCACAGGGAGAGGCGCACAGGTGGCTCACATTATAGAGCAGAATTTATCCACTGCTAAAATGCAGTTTGTCCAAATCAGCTGACTGACCTCTAGAGATTTCTCTGGTTCTATATTGTTGTGGGTCTTTTCACTAGTATTTTTATTTTATTTAAAAACATTTAAAAACAACAACAAGAGAGAAAAATGTGCCAGTGAGGCAGAATGTTATTTCTCTTGCTTTTAAGATGTTTCTCCAGTCACATATAATTTTCTAGGCACTATAGGAGTGTTCTGCTTAATTGTGGCTTACTTTTAAGAAAATTACACTTATCTCACAATACTGATGCATTTAAGACGTGATTTCTGCTTGTTTAAATAAAGAAAGAAGACATATCTTTATCTTGTTGTAGAGTAGACTACTTTACCCACAAAAACACTATATTGGAAGATGTTCATGAAATTATTTCAGAAACTAGGCTCCCACTGTTAATGTGCGTCTGTCATTAATCACATTGTACTGATTCCCTTATTATCCCCTTATTAGGAAGCAATTTTGCTAATTTACACTTTAAAGTACACTTTGGTTCACTGAGAGTATAGGAAAATAATCTAACTGCAGTATCTTGAGTGCATGTGCCCACGTCCGGGGAGACTGGCTGCTGTTAATGGGGTAGAACCGAGTTCCTCGTGAAAGTTGCGCAGTATTGTTTAAACCCATGAGTGCTCACTTGGTATTAGGACATATCTTCATTTCCCTTGAAAGCTCCCTTGACCTATCTGAAACGCTGGTCTGCTTTGTGTTGTGGGTTCCCCTGGTAATGGTGACTGTCACACTACTTTTGCTCAATGCCAGAGCTCTTACTTCAGACCCTGGCATGTCTCTGTATTGGCTGAAGTGTGGTTACATTTAGCCGGTCTAGTTCATACAACCTCTTTATAAAAAAGGTAATGTTTCACACGTGCAAAAATGAAAGTAATGCTCAAATATGTGTGTGTGCACTGCAGAAAAGAGAGAACATGCACACGTAGGCGCACACACAAAGACACACTTTCCCTGATTATGCCCTCTGACCTTGTGCTCCCTGGCTCAGCTGGAGGAGGCCGCCATGCCCAGGGGAGAAGGTTCTGACTTGTGAGTGAGACCCTGCACAGCGTCTGTGAGGTTGGCTCCACATATACACACTTTACAAGAAGAAAAAGAGCGAGCGAGGCCCATGGCCAGCACTTTTCCATGCACTGTATGTGCTCTGGGCAATGAGAAGCCAGCTCTGATTCAAAAAGGCAAGCAGAGAATGATGAGGATGACAGCTTGCCCAATCTCAAACTGATTGGAATTCATTCACGATTATATTCCAATGCAAAACATAGTGTGAAAATAATGCAGGAAATCTGGAAGAAAGCTTAAACATAATAACTGAACACACATTCATGCAAAATTGACACATACACACTTCTTGTCATTTAATTTTGTTTGGGGTGTAAACTCTAATTATTTTGAGATTTAAAATAATTAACTAGATATTAAAACAGACCATTTAGTGTATCTCAGCGAGGTCTCTGAAAACTTTCTGAAATGGAAAAATAGGCCGTCATTTCCATAACAGGAAGTTACTGGCTCATTAGCTTTTTTTTTTTTTTATCCCCTGTGGATGTCAGTAAGTGATTCATGTACATCTCACCTATGACGCTATATAATTGGAGTTGAGAGGAATTCTTGGTCCCTGTGGTTCTCGTAAGAACCCCCTGAGAAAGATGAAGGGAGAAGGAGCACAGACGGCAAAATGAAGTGCGGGTGAGAGACAGACGGGAGAGAGAGGGATGACCTGCCTCTCAGATCAAAGATGAGCTCGGGCCGTAATTCAGCTGAGCAGAATGACGTACCTCTGTCTTGTCTGACACCTTTAAAACCAGCTCCACATGAGTCGAGGGCATGGCCTCAATAAGCCCAGATCCTCTCTGCTGTCACGTCAGTGAAAACATATCTTTGTCGCATGCACGGCCTTCTGCCTTCACATCGACCTCGTGGATAGAAAAGATAGGTTGCGAGACAATAAGTGAGACCGAGAAGTGTTGAGAGATAAAAAGCATGTTCAGAGACAGAAAGAAAGAAGGGATCCAAACAAAAACAGAGGAAAGAGGCCAAATGTACGGCTGCGTGATGATTCACTAGTCTTTGATCTGACAGAGAGGGCTATGGACGTGTGAGGGAAGTTATGGAAGAGATGATTTGTTAGAGGCTGCGATGAGTGGAATTTTACTGTCCATGTGTCTGCCAGGATCGGTTACCTTTGACTTCAACCCCCCCCAAACACTTGTGAGACTCACCCCAAATGATCTTGGCAAGATGATCTAAAGCCCTGGCCTGTGTGCAAGCATATGCATATACGCTTTTAAACTCATGTACGGTATACATTATCACCTGATTATTGCTTGCATCAGTACATCTAGATCTGCCATTTCATACATGCACTTGTATATGTGTGTTTTTATGTGAGTGTGTGCGTGTGTGCGTGTGTGCGTGTATCTCAGAAAGTGATTCAAGATGAACCAAAGATGTTCAGCAGAGGAGAAGCCCAGCTGGTTCTCATTGCACAGTAATACAGTGTCTATTACCAGCAGTGCAATCGCTTTTAAAGCTACTTGTAGCCCCACCATTTCCATTAGAGCACCCATTTACATATCTGTACTGCAAACCAGTAGTAATGCACTGCAAGCTGGCCAAGGAACACCTGATGGCATGTGCTGGAGAAACTGGATTTAACAAGCGCCAACCAGGATCTGTTTCTATAAAAATACAGCCGGCAAAACGGGTGTACAAGTACGTTTTTAAAGGAAAAACGCATTGATTTTCTATAATATAACCAATAAATTGTGCTTGAATGCTCCTTAACTTTACACAGTGGCCAGAGATATTGAAATTAATGGTAGATGTTGATAAATACCTTCAAAAAACCTTCAGAACAAGCGCAAACAATGTTAAGATCCAAATTTGAGAAATGATTCAAACACAACAACCATGACTTCCACTCAGCTATCTTTAAACTTTGTTTTAGAATTACATATATATATATCTTTTTTTTAATATTTGCTGTTTTTCCAAGTAAAACTCTGGCCTTTACAAAGAAGTGGGCTGGTTCCCAGAGTTTGAGGAAAAACAAAAGCTATGTCTGTTTTATTGCACAGTTGTTTTCCAGTAAGTTGTGAAAATGTGACTCACATGTCAGTTCTGAAGAACTCGCACGTCAGACTCGATGGTGAGCTGACTCTGAATTAACACAAGCAATGAACAAAAGACATTTCATCCTTTATATATAAAAACAACTGATTACATAACTTCAGAAGAACAATGGCATCGATCAGAACACACTGAGCATTATTTTCTTTCTTTCTAAAAATAGTCAGTCGAGTTCTTCTTCAGCTGTTGCAGTGTCCCAAAGACCACAGACACATGCTTTCATTTCTATCAAATAACTGAACCAGCACATAACATTAGAGTCAGAGGCAGTGTTTCTAACAATAGCCTCTATTTAGCAGAGGCCTCTACAGTGAAGGAAACAACAGGCAATATCGGTGAGAGGTACATATTGGGCAATAAAACCATAGGCACCTCCACTCATACAGTCATTCTTCAGTAACTCTCTGTAATGCCAAAAGTCCATTCATTCATGTATCCACACTTCTCCATTCTGCTGCCCCAGGGCTGATGACAAGGTGTTTCTGAAATCGCATTAGGGGCCCTTTCATAAAGGTTTCATTGGGGGAGTGTGTAACAGCTTGAAGCATTTAGGCTTTGTTTAATACGATGCAGACTCGCTGCTCGATGCTTTGTCTCCCGTGTGGAAAGGGGCCCGGGATGCCAGAGACCCCCACTGTCAGAGTTTGCTTTGATATCTGGAGGTGGAGGGGGAAATAGGGCAGAATAAGCCCCCCTTCTCCCCCAAAAAACCTGTATGCTCAATACCTGCCTCTGCCCTGCTGCCCTGTCGAGTTATGGCCATCCAATGAACAAGCCAAGCTTTGAAGTGCAGCTCTCCAAGGCTTTACGCCCTGTGGGAGATGTGCGTGGAGAAAAAAAATCATCATATACAGTACTGCGTCCATTTCAGGCACATGCTGTATCTGTTAGGTAAGGTAACCTTGTTCCAAAATACTCACTGTTCACATCAAGATGAAAATATAAACACATGAAATGATATTTTAAGAATATGTATTACAGCGTATTACCTTAGTCCAAAGAGGCTCCTCTTTTTTCACCATATACACACGCGTTGGGATAAATTTGGGATTCAGTGTTTAGCTCACGCACACGTTGACACGTGCACAGAGGTTGCTCAAACCACCTACCCCTATGATTAATGATCGACATGCTCTACCACCTGAGCTACATATTTCTATGTATATATGTTATGCTGTTTATTTGATCCGTTTCATCCAATAAGAGAGGGCTTTAGGTATAAAGTAACAAACCTTAAATTCAACCCATGCACAACTCAAATGCACTTCATTCACTTGACAGTCACAGTGTTGCCAGAGCAATTATGCTGGCTATGACACAATTATGTTCATTATGCATGCACTACTTCCAGATTCTGACCTCTAACCAGGCCAAACAAGAGGGAAGGGGGGGGGGTCTTGTTGATAGGGTCAGAGTAAATTTGCTGAACAAATGACAGCGAGGGTGTGCACTCGGGTGCCAATGGGGCAGCCTTCTGCACAAATAATGTAGCGTAATTAGTGGTGCACTTGTGACCCTGGTGCCAAGGTTAGCATGACGGTTGGCCCAGGTTCACAGTGGGACGTGTTAGCCAGGTGGCCCGACCAGACTGGGCTACAGCGAGGCTAGACTCGGCTCAGGCAGCGTGGGGGAGGCAGTGCAGGAAGGCTGGGCAAACAGTAGTGTTGTTTGCTCTGCTGATTGGGCTAGGACAACTAGGGTGAAGATCACGGGATGTCAACACAGGGGCGGCATTTACAGTTCACTGTCAGTCCCTCACTGTCACCTGTGTCACCAACGACATCCTCAGCTCTGCTGAAGGACTGCTAACCATGGGACAATGAATCTTCTCTTTGTGGCCCAGACTGGTAGAATCATTGATTAGGTTACATTATAATGGATGTTTAATTTCACTGCTAACCCTGGTTAGCTCACTCTGCTAACACCTTGGTGCTGGAAAAGCTGACACTGTTTATTTTTCTCCACACAGCGTGTTTGCGCTGGCTAACCAGGAGGGCGGCAGGTCTAATCCGAGGAGGAAATCATTGAATGTTCCAGTGCTCATTTGAGAAGGCTTCAAATGCGTGGCCCCCCACTGTTCAGGCCCCTTGAGTGCAGGCCCCTTGAGTGCAGGCCCCTGGGACACGTTGTAAAGACGACACCGCATTTCTTCTTCACACTCTCTGATCTGAGTTGTTAGCTCTGAGGCTAAATGCGTGGTCTTGTGAAGAGGAGCTGCAATGAGAAAAACAGGTGAGCTCTTTAACTGGAGTTTCACAGCTATTAAAGTGCCAACACACCGGGTCGCCATGGTGATGAGCGCAGGGCTTCTGGGGAGTCAGCATTTTTGTTATTGAGTGGTGGATGTTTTTGGTTTTGGATGCCCCAAATTGACTTATGACATGAAAAGCTGTCTCTGGCTTTATTGGATTAGATTTCAACAGGTTCTGTTTGCATTTAGGAAGAACAATTGAAGTTTGAGCTATTTGCCCAGCATATGAACACGGTCACAGTTTCATGCTAATAAATATGCTGCACATGATGTTTTGAACATGAAGACCCTTTTCTAACTTTAGCTAGTTGAAATAAAAGTAAATTCAACAAAACACAGACCAACACGGTCACTGAAACAATGCTTAGAGAAGTACTGTTCAAGTTTTGTCCTTAATTCCAAGATGTTGCTTTTTGGTTTGACAACAGAAACTTTATATATATGAGCATTAAAAGACCTTCACATCCAGTCTGAAGTTGTCATGTTGTGTACTTGTAAGTCGGGCTGGATGTCACTAGCAGCTGAATGCTGGCAGAAATTGTACTAAAGAACACAGCACCACATGTACATGGACTTTTACATTGTTGCTGTGGGGTGGGGGTTTGTCTCTCTCTCACTGGCTGATCCCAGAGTACCACATTGATACAGCAGCCATATTTCCTCTTTAAAGCAATGTTTGTTTGCATAGCAAAAAAATAATTTGCCAACCCCTACATCAGTGAACACTGCAAGCAATTTATTTTATGGATCAAGGGATATATTGATGAGATAAGTGGTATTTTTATCCTAAGACAAATAAAGCCTAAACTCAGAACGTGCAGAAAACTTCAATGTGAGCAGTTTTCAAAAACTCCGTAAGTTTTTAAAATACATTTTGGTATAAACTTTAGGCCAGAGACTTATGTGACAAAGGATTTACTGTATATCTAACAAATATGCCACGTTGAAAATTTGTTAAACAGGGCTGTTTCAGATCTCCCCCATCCAGACCCCCTTCATCAACAGGATGCGATGTACTAATTATATTTACAAGTGCAAGGCCCAGACTCCAGAGTTACATTAACATGATAAACACACCTGCTGGCTGATGGCAGAACAGCTTCACAGTGTTTGTCAGTGTAAGTCTGCCGGATGTTAAATCAATAAACTACCTCAACGCAAAAAAAGAAGCCTGATGCAGTCCACAGACTGGAAGAATCTTACTCATTCTGGCCCCCGAAATGTTCCCCTTGGCTGAATCATATCTCATCTGAATGGTATTCAGATCTGCTTTTGATGGGTCAAGATCTCCCGGTGATGGCTAGAAGATACTACGAGGTGTCAAATTACATTATATTTCTAAACTTTGTCCATTTGGTTTCTTTGATGAATGGCTACTTAATTTTCTTCTTGGTCCACATACTCTCCTGAATTTTCAAGCACATCTTTAACAGAACTTTATCAGCAAATGGAGGCTGTCCAGTTTTAATAATAAAACTAAGCAAAAATAATTTAAAACAGTATAAAGAATTAAGTATATACTGTGTTTGTTTCATCCATTATTTCTACATTATAGAGGAGTGCTATCATTTTGCCAGTAAGGCTAAACTATATTTAAATACTTTTGAATAATATTCCTTATTTTTTAATTTAATTTGTCAAATACTTGATCATTTGTAAACGAACATGGTGTATTTATATCACATTTTGATATATTGCATTTCAATCGTGACTGTAGCTTAAATGGTAAACTGATTTTTTGTACTTGTTAGTGAGTTTCAAATTTAAGAGAGTGCATATTTTCACCATTGTATCTGAATATATATCAAATACTACAGACACAGAACTTAACAAACATTACACCTTGTCAATGATAAAGAAATATGAAAACCCAGCTCATAAAGCCATTGATTCTGACACAAAGCATCAGAAACTACAGCATGAATAGATTCCTAAATAGATTTAGCCAACCAATACCACTAGGGGGCCCCGGGGGTCACTGAGCAATCAGAGTGTCACAGGGGTCACTTGCAAGTTGGTGATTACTACTGTTAAAAGGCAAGAGGCTTATACAACACTTTCAAGGCCTAAAATTCAGTTCTTAATTGAATTTAAATTATATTCTTTTTATTAAATCATTCTTCAGCGCAGCCACACCAACATGTTTTACATAACACAGCGTCTATTATGTGCATTTTCATCAAAAAGGTACATTATGTAGAGGGAGTCACAACTACATATGTGACTCAAACACGTTCTCAGAAGCCTGGAAAGGCATTTGATGCACAAGGTACCCATCAGCGTGCTTTTAAAACATCTTTTTAATATGTGGTATGTATGCAGTTTGGTTAGGTTTAGGCACCAAAAAGATTTTGTTTGGAAAACATCATGTTTTTGGTTGAAATAAGTACATTACGTGAGAGCACACGCTTTGTAAGGCTTTCTCAAAACATCAGTATTTGATGCCGTGGGATGAGACCAGAAAGAGCATTGAATCACTACATTGATTGAAATGATAAATGGACTGTACTTATACTGAGCCTTTCTAGCCTTTCAAAAATTCATATGGCAGTTACTACCATGCAGAAATGGAAACTAATACATTCACACACTCATGACACAAGCAGCAATTTGGTATCTTTCCCAAGGACACTTTGACATGCAGACTGGAGGAGCGAGGGATTGAACCGCCGGCCTTCTGATCAGTGGACGACCCGCAGCGACTCCCGAACTACAGCGGCTCAAATGTTTCCAAATGAGACAGGTTTCTTCTGCAAGAATCTACTTGTCCAATTTAATTTTACAGCACTTTTGCCAACACATAATTGCAAGTAACTTTATGAAAACGAAAAAAAGTTTGAATCAAATTATTTTGGTCTCTAGGATAACTGGGGACACATTTTTAATTTACTGTGACCAAAACAGCTATAGGCTACATCACACATAAGCTACTTCCTAAGTGTAGCTGTCATAACTGGGTTGCTTCTTATTGTTTCCTAAGGGCTCCATTAGTGGCACTAAAATTATATGTGTAAAGAAGAATGGGCATGTTGCTGACTCCCTTCACCTGTTTTACACATCTGACTACAGCAGCATCTGTGGACTGCTGGGAGAAAAGCTCAGGCTATGAAAAACTACACTGCTGAAAAATATAGTATGTAGTGTCACCATCTTTACGTGCTTTACATGCTGCGTTAAATAAACTGATAAAGACATTTGAAGTAACAATTTTGAGCAGTGTAGATATGGTGCAACACTCACGTGTGTGGTTTCTTCATTGTCCCCAAAGGATGAATACTAATAACTTTGGTGATTCCCTACTTGTCCTGTAGTGCCACCGTGAGGTTGGCATTTGAGTGAGATGGCTTAACAATTGTTTTTGTCATGAAGTTTGGAACAGACGTTCATGTTCCCCTCAGGATGAATTTTAATAACTGTTTATAAGGGCGATCCTTTGAATTTTGATTTACCTCCATCACAAAAACTCAATCTGGTTTATGACCAAATAGGCTACCTGCAAAAATAATGACGTTCCCATCCATCTCGTCCACAGTTTGTGTTTGTCTGGGCCTATTGCTAATCAGCGAATGTTAGCATGCTAACACACAGAACTCATATTTGATTTGATTACACTGGTACAGCATGTATTGTTAGCCAGGAGGCACTAACTGGCACTTTAATTACCAAAAATGTCCTTGCTGCAACTGTGTAACACACAGTTACACATCAGAACCCGACTGTTAGAAGTTATTTTATTTATTTCCTTCTCAACTGCTACATGAAAATTCTTTGTCCTGTTAAACAGTGATTTTTTGGCTCCACTAGCACCAGCAGTTAATCCATCATGAAGTTAGGCACAGCAGCAGTTTAAGGCTGGGAATATGGCTCACTATAAGGAACGACACCTGTAACACTCTTCACCGGCCCAGGTCATGTGGTCAGCACAGCTCTGCACCTGGACTCACTGTCCTAAAGTGTTGACTAAATTTATGGAGTGTGTGTAATAAGAAATTGGTTAAACATGGTCCACTGGTATGAATAGAAATATCCATCCAAATTTAAGTGTGCCTTAGAGTATTTTATGAAGCTAACAGGAAAAGAAATCAGGGACAGAGGGTTAGCCCAAGAGAGAGAGATGATATGTAGGCGCTTCACCGACCTTGTAACAGACTGATGACCTCAATACAAAAAGACATTAAGGAATCTACCATAAATAAAACCAAACTAGAGAAGGAAGGGAGGGGCTGCTTTTTATGATCTTGACCAGAGATCATTTTTAACGCATTAAACTAGAAAGGTGCTGAGTGAGGTTTTCTGTGGTGATCCCTTTAAGGAAAATGACACTTTCACAGAGCGGGGAGCAAATGTACAGTACATCCACAATAAACACAGCAGTCTCTTTTGAGTTACAGAACAATAAATAATCACAATTTGTACAAATACACATCCAAGAAAGTAGTACAAGCAGGCTATTTGGTCACGAACATGCAATAAATAAATAAATAAATACAGTTGAGGGAGGTTTCACATAAAACAAACCGCACACTACTAGCCTGGCTGCCGTCTTTGGAAGCAGCACCTGACATGCTAAAACACATTGCACTGATCTGCTTCTCACGCCCATTGTCTCATTTACATGATCAAGGCTCTTTTTAACACATCGACTCGCAGACTAATGAGCGAGAGTCCAGAGAACACTTCAGTGCATGCAGAAGTATGAGCCCTTAGGAAGTCCATTCAGTCTCATGCCAATGTGCCCCCCTCTCTGTGACAAGTGCCACCCATTTGGGCAAACAATGCCAACCCTCTTTCCCTCCCCAGCCCCAGAAACAATGGCTCTCAATTACCAGTTAACAATAAATTAGAATATTAAAAGCCACGGAGGGCGAAGGCGTGGATGGGGCTGAGAAAGCCTGAGGTGTGTGACCCAGTGAGAAGTCTGCAGATGTCGGTCGGTTCTGTCGTGGCGGCCGGCCGCCTGTCTTTGACATGTAGAGAGAGAGAGAAGAGCGAGAAACAATCCTGAACCTCCTCCCTGGTACAATCTCCACACTCAGGGTGCCCCATGTTCCTCAGTTAATCCCACTTTATCCAAGAGAGGCGGGCTGTCAGATCTGTGGAGGGCGGGGGGGGGGGGGCATGGGGGCAGAAGGAGACAAAAGCAGGACAAACACATAAGTTTAGATACGCTAGGTCTGGGGCTAAATAATGGGGGCACACTTACTGCTAAATAGAGGCTTAAGAGCAGATTCCCACAGAATTAGTTAAGTGCATGAAGGCAGTAAGAATCCAGGTACTTGTGTTTTGGTTAAATGAGGCTCATTTAAGAGCAAATGCCCAAGGGAAACACACCTGGGAATAAAAGAGGGTAGCAAACACACAGCAAGCTGCTTAAAATGACATTTGTCTAGTGTCAATATGCCTGGATTACTGTGAATAACACAATTTGAATGTAATTAACCATTAAAAGCCTCCGCATGAGTCTTATGATGTTACAAAGATGCAGATTAAAAAGGGATCATGGTATAAATGTAGGCTTGTGCTGTAGGTGATTAGTATGTCATAACATGTTAATGAGGCATATCTGGCTAATAAGCAGAAACTTAAACTTGAAAGAGCAGGTGTGGTTTTGGTGTGTTTATGACTTCTTTTCATGTAGACATGGATTAAATTAAAAATATATTGTGTTAATAATATGTGGTAATCAACATGTAGTCAACATGTTCCAACAATCCAATCTCTTTCAAAACAATGCCCAAATATTTAGCAGAAACCTGGCTGAGTTCAGACTGATGCTCAGTAATGGATTGCCAATTGATGATGTTATAATTAATGTAGGATCTGTCAACACATTCCAGTCGGCTGAAATTAGGCTTAATCTCATCTGCAGTTTATGACTCAATCATTAGCCTAGTTTATGACGTTGAGTTTTATTATGGGCTAATGATCAGCTCACCACTTGTGTTCCAGATGGCGTTGGTATGATTCTTGTAGCCATTCTTCATGCACTCGTCCACATAGGATTTGGGGTCGCAGCCTGACATGAGGATCTCTCTCAGCAGGGCGATGTAGGCTATGGCCAGTCTCAGAGTGTCTATCTTCGACAGCCGCTTCTCGTAGGGAAACGTTGGTACGTGGCAGCGCAGCTCCTCGAAGGCGGAATTGATGCTCAGCATCCTCTTCCTCTCCCGGATGTTGGCGGCATGCCGCTGCACCTTGTAGGGCTGATGGGGAACCAGCCGCCGCGCCCTGCGCTTTTCCCCCTCCAGGGGTTCGTCCACGGAGGAGCTTTCCCCATCAGCACAGGTTCCGGCCTCCGGAGACTGCAAGTCGAGGTCTGTGAAGGTCAGCTGAGAGTCCGGGAACATGGACTGGCTGCCGAAAGACGACCAGGGCGAGAGCTGGCCGGCGGCTGCGGTGTAGTCCAGCAGGAAGGTGTCCAGCTGGCTTTGAAACTGGAAGTTTTGGTCCATCTGTCCCCAAAATGCAAAATCCGTTGTTCCATCCTGGTCGAAGTCAAAAAGCATGTCCTCCATACTTTAAAAGCAAAATGAAAGTATTCTTTAGGGGGTCTCTAGGGGGAAGCCAACTTAGCGCGGGTTTTCGTGAATAAACTGGTATACCTGCGCGTGCCTGAATCTCAGCTGTGTGACAGCCTCGTGGGCCCATCCCCTGGATTAAATACTTCCAGGGCCTCCGTGTTTCTCGGCGGGTTGCTCTGGCCAATTCTAAAGGCTGAAAGGGAACTCTAAGAACACTTCATCCCTCCTTCTGAATCGTTCATTGCTTTTAAAAACGTATTACAAAAGAATCAGTTGATCTCCAAACGACAAAAAGCGGGGGAAACACATGTCCAATTATAAACTTCCCCCCAAGTAGTCCGGCTAATATTGACAAAAAACACTTCGTTTTAAGCAGTCAGCGGAGAGCTTGTGCTGAGCATTATGGCGCAGCAGGCCCTGCAAACCCGGTGGCCCCTGAATGGGATTGTTTTATCTATTTAGGCTCAGCTGACAACAAACACCGCTGTCAGAAACACATGAAAGCTCTTTGTTACAAAATGTAACAGGATCTTAATGGGAAAGATGTTTTTTTTGTTTGCCTTTACCTTATTCTGGTCTAGACATATTTTACACACTGAAGTCACATAGCAAACAGACCTACAGGATGTAAAATATCCCAGCAGTATCACCACAACTCGTCCCATAACTTGGGTCTAGTATAGCCACATTAATACGTTCCTAATTTGCAAATGATATGACTGACTAAATGGCAAACCGGGGAGAGGACGCACGCTGTAATTACGCTGGGGTTAATCAAAAAAGCGAGTTCTCTCTTCAAGGTTGGATCCAGGGCAGCTTGGGGATGAACTTTAATTCAAGAAGGCTGTATGTTTGCTAACAAGTGGTTTTGATTTACCAAAGTCCTCCAGGATGCTAATTTAAATGGGTCCTTTCGCTGCAAGAAGAGTGTTTATCAGGAGGCAGCAGCTGATCTAACCACGATGATCCAGACGACTAACACGGACACAGGTGAAGCTTGTAACTGACAGTTGGTGGCAGTGCCAAACACTGTAGCCTCACAGGTGATGGAGACAAGAGTGTTTTCATTTGTACTAAATAATTCGAAAGGTTATTATCAGAAAATAGATATTATTGTGGTTGTGTAATTAATTTTTGACCATTATCAGGCTTATTGTCTCCATTATCTCAATAAATAAGTTCCATAAAGCACTTTTCTTGGTATTTTGCTCCTATTTCATGCTCATTTCTTTGAGGTGTTAGATGTGTCCAAGTTTAATAAAGCGTTGAAATAGGCCAATGTAGACTAAATAGTTACACACGTGCTTACAACAGGGAATAAAACAATCCAGAATGAAGGCAAATTGTTTGTCCGGATTGAAGGAACAATATGAAGGCCACAATCCTATCTGCATTCTTCTTCAGTGAGTTGGATTTTCCTGCAGGGACCTCAGTGTTTGTTTCAGGAAACACATCAAAGTTGCTCTTATTTTCCAAGGGATTGACTTACAACAGTTAATGAACCTACAGTTCCAGTGTTGCTCTAACCCTTTTCCATCCTACATCTCAATTAACCCATGAGACTGACACACGTTTGAAAGGACAACATCCTGATTAATGGGAGGCTGTTATCGAGCCCAGCATCTTGTTTTAATTCCGAATCATTAAACCCGTTTGGAGTGTAAAATAAGCACGAACGAGAAAATGTGTATGTGGTGTTTAAAATGACATCAAATTCTAATCCCGGATGTCTTCTATATTGTTGGGGATTTAATCGGCTAATGGAGGTGACTAAATTGAGTCTAATCACACATGGCTCTCCATGGCACGGAGCTTTATTTTCAGTGGATGAGAACGGGTATGAATTGGAATGCTTTAGCACCGGTGTGGTGTTAAACCACAGAAAGAGAAATCATTCAAATAATATTTCTTCTGAAAAAAACGTTTTAAAATGTCACCTTTTTAAATGTGAAGGTCTTATACTGGGAAATGAAAATAATTGAGGAACAAGTGAAATTGTGCCATTCCATTAAATCGAATTTAAGACCCAGGAGGACTCGGATGGCCACGTTTTCCAGCCCATGTCAGTAAAAAAAATTCAGATTGGCTCAGCAGGAGGCTACGCAGTCTGTTTGCTTGGCTTCCTAATTACTGAAGAAGAGCTGACAGCCTGCGCTGAGTGGTGTGGGCCTGTCAGGACCTTCTGCCAGGCTGCCAGTGGCATCTCTCCCCCAGCTGACGGTCTTGGTTTGGTTTGGGCCGGGCTGAAGAGACGCGCCTGCCAGATTCAGATCCGCCTTATTGTTTACACCACAATTCAAGAGGGCTGGAGGGTTTGAAGAGAACAAAGACAGCGACCATTTAGAAAATTCGAAATGAACAAGGAAGAAGCACAATAAGAAAACTCAGCACTGAGCTGCTTGGCCTGTCGCTGAAATGGGTAAATGTGGCGTCTATTTCCCCTGATTCAGGCGTGCAATCTTTTTTTTTTTTTTTTTGCTTATAAACACTTGTTAAAGCATGGATTCAGTGTGTGTGGTGCCTTAAGTCACTGACATGCAGGCTGCACTACGGCCCAAATGCTTTCCTCCGACGGACGCGCTGTAAAATCCGCCCAGAGGACCGGACAGCGCGGAAAACTCAAGTGCGCCTTGGACCCTGCGCAAGGCCACATGCTCGCAATTAAGACTGCGGTTTTGAAGCTGTTTCCCACCTGGGAGTTACTACAGAATAGATCCACATCTGCTCTTTCATGTCCTTTATAATATTATGACTTTTAATCAGTGACATATTTTGGGGGGTTAGAGTGGACACTGTTTGCTCACACAGCGCTTGTGTCATTTCCTACAAATTACTGAGCTGTGTTTCTAAACTCTGATGGAGTTTTCAGAATCAGTGCCAGGATCCATTGCAGTAATGCTGCAGCTCTTAGCAACCCTCTCTCTTTTTATTTCTCTTCTCACTTTTGTGGCCAGCTGACCTAGTCCATTATAGCCATCAATGCAACAGCAAAAAAGAAAGTCTAGCATTTCATGGTTCTGTTCAGTGACGCACATCTTGTTTGTTTGGGTACAAGGCTGATAAACATCTTGGTACTGAAAGCCTCTGGGATCTGTCTTGGCTGCTATGAGAGAATGGCACAGCAGCCAAGTGTAATCTTCAGCATTGGACACAAACAGCTCTTTGATCTGTGCTGGGACTGAGCCATTAGTGTGTCACGGCACACTGAAGCGATAGCTCAGAGCAGAAGTTAACCTTGACCGCAGATTAGGATTCAGATAGCCCCGGGTCTTTTACCTTTAAAGGTAAGCTACAATAAATGCAATGAACAGTATGTGCCTAGCTTCAAAGGGCACACCAGTCAACTGAATGAAAATAATGCAGGAAATGCCTTGACTAATTGCATGCAAATCTCTCTTGCATGCAAAGTATTTGTGGAATCGGGATAACATTTGATTCCTATAAACTGTTATTGCATCTTTGGGGCAACAAAACATGCTTGATTTGTGATCCTGTACTCTAGTCACTTGTGTGAGGTGTGCCACCAAGACAAACTCAGGTACGTCAAAACTTGCCAAAGAAATTAATCTGATTCTGATTCTTAAAGTTAAGTAGCAGCTTACTGGCTCCTCGCCCATTTCTGTCTGCATTTCAGACCCAGGTCTGGTCTGGAAAAAGCATCATGGTCATAAAGTGGGCCTTAAGCAAACACCCCTCCGGGGGCACCACCCCGCTCCTTGGACCAGCGAGAGCCTGAAGCTGGATCTGAGCCCCGAGCTTGATAAAAACACATCGGTTTTGCAGTATGGGTGTATATACACTGCATGACAACAGGTGGTATTTAGATAATATGACTTTTTACATGTGCACATGTGTACAACACATCATAAACTTCTCCTGTATTCCACTATTATAATCATTGATCCCAATCTGTGCATTCTTTATGATACTTTTGGTGTGGGTCTCTTTGGTATGTGTGAAAGGCCACAGAGCCTCTGGGAGAGGACGGATCTGTGGGAATGTGTAGACTGCAGTCATCAGTGGGCACACCTGCAGAGTATGTCAATATGGCTTCTCACTAAAATCACCTGACCGCAAAAGAAGAAACGTTTATTGTCAAAACGAATTCTCATTTTTTCATTTGAAACTATAAACTGTTTAGTAGCATATTTCCAAGCTTTAGAACAATGAAACTCACTCAACCCATAAAAAAGGCCACTTTATCTTTCAGGTCCAATAAGAAAAAGGGAAAGAGAAGTTATTTCCATGACAGCAACAATATACTGACATAGGAGAGGTTCAGTAGGTCTTTTCCAACTGAGAATACCAATGACGTTAAACTTAATTTCTTTAGAGTAAGAATCATATCAACGAGGGGATCCTGTGAAGTTCACACAGCATTTTATAACTAAATAAAATCTCAGGTGGTAACACCCAAAATTTGAGTGAAGATTTGGTGTATTTTGGCAGAGTGCACAAAAACCCCTCTGGTTGTAATAGCTGGCAAAATCATAGCCTAGTATGATGTAAGCATGATTTCACCATGCACTGTCTCCACCTCTGAAAAATGGTGAACAGAGGGTGTTCTCTGCAGTTGGAGAAGTAAATAAAACTGCTTTTAAAGCAAACATGTTTTGCACTTCTAAAATGTTAGGGGGCTTGTAAGAAAATAGATGACAAAAAGAAGTAAGGCATAAATTAAAGCAGCAGAGACACAATGAAATGAAAAATCCCGACTTTTAGCCCCTGGTATGTGTCATTCCCCAGAAACTCTGGATCCTACATTTCCCACAATGTACCCTCCTTGCATCATAAATGCCCACAACTTTCAAACTCAACATATCTTTTAACAAAGACTTTCTGGATGATTTCCAGCTGTGATGATTTTGTTGTGTAGCCTGTAGGTATCATTTATGGGGGACACTCTTGCTGAGACCAGATGTGAATATGCTCCTCCTGCAATTTGCTTGGAACAAAACACGATCAGGTCCGTGGAGATACACACACACACACACACACACACACACACACACACACACACACACACACACACACACACACACACACACACACATACTCAAGAGATGGTCTTAACAGGCACAAGGGCGTCTTAGGTCACTGCAGAAACATGCCGGTGGAAACACTGCCCCTAAAGACCATCTGCTAGCTTTGTTGTGCACCGGTTGTCTTAATCTCTCTTTGTCCTGACCCTGTTGTTCAGGTCAGCGAGGTGTTGCAAGTTTTCCCATTTCGACTAAGAGAAAATAAAATAACCTTTTTTTTCTTTTCAGTCTTTTCAGTTCAGGGTTAGAGAGGACTCTTCTCTGGATTTGATTTAGAGCTGAAAAGAATCGCGGTCACTTAGGACATCCACCCAGGTCGAGTGGTGGATAGACAACCATGGCTGAACTGGGGATGGAGCACAGTGGACATAGAGGGTGAATATGTTGACAATAAGACAAAACAAAGAATGCAAACAGGGAGCATATTTAATGTCACTCTATAGTTAACTGGGTGATTATCTGATAATCCAATTATCTCTTTTATTCTGTTCAGATGAATGCTTTCCCTCTGGTAACAGATGCTCTATGTCTATGATGGGACTGATCCTTTCCTTAATGAAAGGAGAAAGTGCCTCTGCTGTTTGCATTTATCATTTACCACGCTCAATAGGTTGTTGGAAACAGCTAGATGAGATCTGCCTAAAGGTAACTAAATCCACCCACCAGCATCTCTAAAGTAAATCCCTAATTTAGATATTATTCCTTGTTTCTTTAATTTATACAAAAACTAAGGTTTTTGTGATTTTACAGGGCATTTTATGGAACTATTTCTTATCCGAGCACAGTGAGTCTTATTGTCACCGTGAGGTCAGTGGCGGTATTT